GGTCGGGGGTTGGGGGGTCCTGAACCCCCCAATATTGGAAAACCATAAATTGTAACCCCCAATAATGAATTCACCAATATATAATTTAAAGTAAAGCCATACTACCAAGAGAAAGCAACTAACATTATTTCTATAGGAAAAATTATGCATTTTAGTCTTTTGAAAATAAGTTGTCACCCCCTCTGATCTGCCCAACAATGGTTCAGTCCATTTTTTTTTTGTTATTTTGCCATGAGATCTTTTCTCGTAATTATGAGATAAATCTTGTAATTATGAGATCAGGAGTCCTAATTTTTTAATTTGGTGAATGCAATGCTGTTCAGTAGCTTTCTGTGGCTCTGTTGAATCACTTTAACAATAATGGTTCACGTCATGTTCCCGCTTCAGAAACAATGAAAAAGAAAAATTAAATAAATAAAAACCTCAGTATATCACCTGTACATCGCCCTTTTCCAGCCTGTTGCTTTGCTGCATTTTTATTTCTTTGACGTAGTTACCACTACAGTCTGCTTAAGTCAAATCCATATTATTTGTGCTGTTTTTATTTAATAATAGTTTTAAGACAGCACATTTATCAGATCACTCCTTCCTTCCTCTCTCCTCTCCCTGAAGAGGAGGCAGAGAGAGAAACAAGGAGGCATTATTTATTGTTGCAAATGGCCGTCACTACATAACATGTCAGATTTTTTTTTTTTTTGCCATAAGGTGACTGACTCAAGCGGGACTGTGTGTGAGTGTGCGTCACATTGTGTGTGTTGGATTTTGTGTGCATTGTTTTTTGGTGTCATTTAAGTGTATCTTACCCCCCTGTGAAAAGATAACTCCGCCCCAAGGCGAAATTTGAAAAATGCATCAAAGATGGTAGGGGAGGGGGGTTAGAGAGCGGAGGTGTGGCCAGGACGAGAGAACGTGACAGCTAGCATTAGCATAATTGATGCTACATGGAGAGTGACCACAGTATCGCAGATAGCATCTCTAAACGGTCTGAGGTGGAGGATTTTTCACCCCCCTCCTCACCAGAGGCAGAGAGAGACTTGATCAAGTCAGCTCAGTCTGGGACTGACTTGTGTTGGCTCCCTGGATCAGGACATGAAGCTCCAGCAGCCTCGGCTGAGCTGTCCGCCTCACACCACACCAGCACCGGACAGAAGAGGTGGAGCGCTCCGCGACAGCCTGACAATAAAAAAATAAAAGCATACAGCTGCAGCTGCTCACAAGATCACTAGTTTAAATCAGGAATAAAAGTGTTGGGTCTTGTTTGACTGAAGTTCGGTCCGTTAGGGCTGCAGTTGTGTAGTCTACCTGGGAGGTTATGGTTGGCTATAGAATTGACGAAGAAATGAATGGAAGCCAATGCAAAGTCCCCATGAGGATAGAACAACAAACGTGTGTGCGCGGGAGGTGTGGAGCGGAGCCCGTAAGCAGAGCACAGTGTTATTAGGAGAAATGAGACTGTCGGTGGGCGACTGTTATACTGCTGGACTATTTTTTATGGAACATGGAAACTTTTTTTTTTCAGCGGGTGACCGCTCCCCCTCCCACTTGAACGATTGGTCGCACCAGTGCGACCGGACATTTTTTTTTAGTCTCAATATTAGGAAATCAGGTCGCATTTGCGACCTAATTGGTCGCACTCTAGAGCCCTGCATTTAAGGTGGTAGAACCCTTTTTTATCAAGGCCAGTTTCATTAGTTTGATACTTTGAACCAAATTTCCAAATTAGTGAAGGGGTTGTATGTTTGTGTGTGGTGGTATCCTGGGAATAAGTGTAGTGAGGCTGCAGAATAGCATCTTGTGGATGTAGAGGATAACAGGAAAAGCTGAGCTTAAGCAGGATAAAGACGTCATGATTATCTTCACATTGAAGGTTTAAATTGTCTGCAGTTCAGCCATGATCTTACACGTGATCATTGAGACAGTGGGGTCATTATCTAGTGTGAAGTTAGATCTTTATTTTCTTAAGTTTTATTTTTATTTATTTATTTGTTGGCAATCAAGAAAGGTGAAACTGGTTTTGGTTGAAGTTCAAAGCAAATGATTGAATTGTTTGTAGGGTTGGGCATAATCGTATCGTGTGCAATTAATCGTCAGAAAAATATTAATCGATTACTTTTTGGCACTCGAGGATTACTACGATTAATGTCACCAGGCAGAGTCCGCTCGTTGCTCCTCTCTGCTTCAAATATGATGAATATTAAAAAAAGGTTCTGTAATTTATCTATCAACACAATTTACAATTGTGCCTGAACTCTGTAATTTTGACACGATTTGGAACAGATTTTTATGAAGAGCAAATCTTTCCCACTAAATTGGTCATGTGACTAGGATATAAGGGACTCCAGGGCATTAATCGTCAAGTAACCGTTATCGGCTAAATACCACAATTAATCGTGATTAATTTTTTTGCCAATATTGCCCAACCCTAATTGTTTGTAATGAATTTAGACACTGAATTATTGTTATCATAAAATGTTTAAGAACATCTCTTTCTGTTTTTCAGGTTTGTGACTACCTGTCTGCTGTCCTGTAGATGCAGGAACTGCCGTCACTTTCCCTTTGAGATCTAATTTGTAGTTTGTTTTTCTTCCAGTATTGTTTTCTAAAATAAATATCATTTTATATTTAACCTCACATTGCAGTTTTCTGCTTTGCTGTATTCTTCCCCAGCAATCGCTTGTGTGATGGTTACATTTTCAGAACCAGCTGACTGGGAACACGTGTAGCACCTTTTAAAAGATGTGTTTTATGTTCCAGTTGATGGCTCTGGATCGTGTTTCCTATCAATCAGCTGTAACAGCTCATTGTTCAAGTGTAAACTGTTTTTTTTTTTACCACACTTGTTCGTATGTTTAGGTTTGTGAAGTTCTTTGAGATCACAATATTACCTGCATTGATTATAAATCACATTACCTGCATTGATCTGAAAAAATAGCCATTAATTACAGCTGTTTTGTTCAATTTGTAAGTATTTTAAGGCAGAATTATTTGTTAAATAAAAATGTAAATTTGAACAACTGGATGGACATTCTTTATAGTGGGAACTGTATAATTATTATCAGGGTTTACAGTTCTAATCAGCTTGATTTATTTCTGCAGATGGATTGGTTTTAGTGTTTGTAGAACCTATAAAATAAACTTGATTCTGTAGAACATGTTGTGAAGGGGTGTGTGCTTTGCCTAAAACCTATTTCAGACTTGAAATACAATTTGACACAACTGATGATCATAGTTGAATTCCAAAATTTTATTAGAATTTGCAGATCTGTATTTATTAATCAAGATGTTCAAAAGATGCAAAGTGCTTCCTGTAGTTTTAAGTTAAACATATAGTAAATGGTTGGTTAGGTCACTTTAAAGTGCATTTCTGTGTAACCCATATGAACAAGTGTATTATTTGAAGTAGAAAACTATTAAATATCCAAAGGCTGGGGAAAAAAACTACATCTGAAAAATGGAAAAGCTAGGAGCTAAACCAAATGTAGCTCAGATCAAAAATATATTTCTGCCATTCTAAAACTGCTCTGTCCAAACCTCCATTGTGGCTCATTCAACACGATTGCAATGATCTTTGTCCTGCTGTCAGTGTTGCATTACATACCTATACTATACATATATATACTAGTACAGATTGTGGTAAAAGCAGCAGCTAGCTGTTGTACTACTGGTGGGCATTCCATAACGTTTCCTCTTTATTCACTAGTGAGATTTTTTTAATATAAAATAGTGTTTGCATGAACCCCTATAAAATCTAGAAGAGGTGTCTTAAGGTGGCTCTTTTTACTTTTTAAGTGGGTTCATATGGGTCATAATGACTAGCTAATAATTGCTGCAGGCCTACTTTGAAAGTCAGTTTCTTCCTTCTTACCTCAACCTAAATCTTTAAATTGTTTAAGTGCCTCATGCAAATCATACTGGGTTTTTAATTTGTTTTACCTCCCAGAAGATAAAATGATGGTTGCATGAACTGCATCCATCCAATATGACAGCCATACAATTAGATCTTTAGACTAAAGGTAGGCTTGTCTTTTGTAGGACTTGAACTCTATTTCTCCAATCTTAGGGCAATCAAAGGCCATCACCCACAGTTGAGATGTTTACTTGTCATAACTTTTCTATGAAATCCCTCTTATTGATTCATGTTTGTGTTTTGGAATATGTACAACTCAACATTTCTAAATGAGGTGACTCCTAACAGGGTATATAAGAACTCTAGTATCAACACAACATGTGCTGCACAGTGGAACAGTTATTTTAGCTCTGTACGGTCTCTGGGTCAAACTAATTAAGCCATTTATACAGTATACGTATATACATTATACTTTTTCCCTGTGCCATTCCACATTATTACAAATAACTTCATTTCTGGACATTTATGGTTTGATTTCTTTGTATGTATGGATCACTTGGGTTG